TTCTGTGGGGTGTATGTATAATTTCTGGAACTACACCATCTCCCTTACCTCATTCCTATAGTAGATTTCTTTTGATGGTTTTGATAAAACTGAGGGGCGCCTAACAGGGCTTCAGTAAAGACAGCTAAGAAGCCAATGGTCTCTATATAGATGAACGATTCCAGACATAAATACGTAACATAACCACTGAGAGCCACAAATATACACAAACATAACACATAGTCTGAAAAATGAGTCCAATTCCAGAAATGGTCTACGTTGAAATCTGTGGAGGGAAAATCAAAGATAAGAATTCAATGGGAATGAAATGGATATATGGAGAAATGTGAGAAAATTCATACAAAATGCCAAGAATGGAGAAGCAGATCACTGGATCAATTGYATCCTGTGGGTGGCACATTTGAATAGAGTTTGTTTGATGTGTTGTCCTCTCCCTATTAAACCAAAACGTTTTTTTCTAGATTCTTCAGGTTTTTCTCCCTCCCTCCCATGCATGACAAACTTAAAGGCCTATTTGAACCGCACAGCAGGTTAATTACCTGCTAAAGAGAACCATTTTTTGACAGCTCTTGAAAGTCATCGACCATATTCTACCTTCAATCCTCGTGTAAGCTTCGCTTGCTGATGTTATTATTGTATTCTTTGTGATAACTCATGTTTTATATTAATTTTTCCAATCAGAAGCACTGACACGAAGACAAAAGGAACTTTTATTGAAGAAGAGTAAAATATAGATAAGTGGAAAATAAAACTACACTATCGAATTACAATGGTAATCCGACCTGTCCGTTTGATAATTTGATCCGTCGTCCTTGCTGATGTTCTGCGATTCAATCGCAGAACATCAGCAGGGATTGCTTATATCGAATAGGCCTTATAAACTTGTCATGAAAAAATGGTACTTGAGAATTGCAGGGCTAAAATTAATGGTTAGTCAGTTGCCAGTCAGGACTGGCAAAATTAGATTGAGCTCAGTCATATCTCATTTCTGGCTCAATGTTAACTGGTCAAAAAGACAAAGAATACAAACTTGAATAAGAAAGGAGATTTGTGAACCATTTTCATAGTGCTGGTTAAATGAAGCCATCTCTATGCAAACATCGTACTTGGCGGTCGTTTAACACGTTACTTAATTAGTCCCCCTCAAAAAAATGCATTTAAGGGTAGTGATCCAATCAGATCAACAGACCTTTCAATGGTTCTAAGTCAAGCTTGGACTTGATGTGTTCATACATTWATYTTATYRTTTATCAAGTTTAACCCRTGACTTTGAACCATTGTTGCRTGGTCMCTCAAGCAAATTSGRGAAAGRTTTACTCAGCCTCACCAAGAAATGATCTTCTTTTTCCCAACAAGTCGGTTTCTCTTTTAATCTTCGTACAAAGTTGCARCATGGCAAGCATTGCAACGATCATTATAAAACTCTGTAAAAGCAATGGKGTTTCAAATTGACGACCAAACCTACAAAGACAAGATGATTGATTTGTAACATTACTACTTGATAGTTGAATGGAAATAGCTGTTGCCATGGGTACACAGTCTAACGCTTACTTTAACCTTAAGTTTCTGATAATATGGTGATTTGTCACAGTAGATTTTTTGTTWATTTGTTTAWTTTTGAAATTTTRTTCGSCAGAAGTATGTTGCAAAAATGCATGACATAGACATAGAAAGACATTCATGAGCAAGTAAAAAATATTTAAATGATTAAATGCTTCAGTCTTAGGAAGTCTTGTTGAATTGGAACAGATGAATCATCGCTATAAAACAGAATTCATGATCTGATTTTGATTCATCGTATGTAAGCTTATCACATCTACTCTGCAATTTTCTTGATTCCAATCTTAAGATAGTGAACTTTAAAACCTCTAAAAAAGAAAATGATGAAAATACATCGAAACCTCACTCTCTATACGAACTTACCAAAAGAGAATACGAAGAATATTGGCGATAAGCAAAGCTAAACAAACATGAATGGAAAARCCATCCGCATTTTTTGATTTCCAAATATCCCAATACTGAGGGATATAAGGAACCACTCCACCGAACACCATGGCAGCCGACGAGATCCAAGAGATAACATTTACCACAGATAATCCCATTACAGTTAGTGTATCTGGTCGTTGTTGTTGTTGTACAATATTAGGTGGCATAGCTAGCGATGTGATGTAAGGCTCTGTGACTAGAGCGAGACGTGACGTGTAGCAAGTGAAATCCTAAACAATCCACTAAGAATTAATGGTAAGAAATTTCAAATTAAGATAGAGAGTTGTATATTATACTCTCTGAATCTTCTTGGAAGATAAAACGCTTTATCATAAAGGAAATAATGTAATTTATATAGATTTCCTCTCTTTCAGTAAGTCGTTCTCCATGTTGTAAAATTAATAAAACTTCCCTCCCCTCCCTAAATTCAATTTTGTTTTCTTTTATGWTGTGACGTATTTCCGGGTCCAACTGCTCATATTAAAAAACCGCTAGAAAAAGAACTAAGATAAATCTCGACAATTTAACTTCAACCTAGAATAACTAGACAAAAAATCCTGTCAGCAGAAGTAATAAGAAAAATCTTTATAGAACAGTTTTTCGTTTTAGAACCAACGGAATCCTGCCGGAAGTCGACTGAGATCAGCCAGAGCTAATTTGATACCCTACCCCTCCCATGACAGTAGCTTTTGTCCCTGCTGATCACAAACATTGCGGACTCAATAAATAGTTCCCAGGTTTTTCTCGGATTTCAAAATGGCGATCGAGACAGAAATTTAATATTACAGTCATCTGATTATCGTCAAGTTTAACCAATTTGCGAAGACTATTTCACGTATTTGACCACTTATCCTTATAGCCGAGAYAACCGAGATTTCACAATTCAGTTTTGCGCCTTTTTCGTGGAATATTTGTTAGCCAAATATTGCGATCATTTTTGMGGTTTTGCCCAAGTTTTGCATTTGACTCCTAAAACATGGTAAGTAAAATGTCAATATTCGCCTCTCTTATCCAAACTAAACCAGACTAAACACATGTTTACTTTGCTGGAGAGTAATTAAGATCTATGACATGCAGGTTAATTATCAGGAATTTCAAAGCCGCTTAAAATTTCTCAAAGAAAAATGAAGAATGTAAAAATTGTACTTCGTGCCATGCCTCAAGTCTTTACCGATAACATAAATTGGTAGCAATATCTAAGCTTATTGGTCCATCTGCCTATGAAATTTTTATGTTCGTGTAGTTTTTGTCATATTCTATGTATGAGAATACAGAATCACCCAGGGCTGTTTGTGTAGAAAGGTCTTTTCTGTTGTCATGTAAAAAGCCGGCACCAAAACMTAGAATCTTAACTCAAATATTAAGTCTTTATGATTAACGAAACAACATCATGGAAAAATCAGGGTAAGCTTATAAATCACAGAATTAGTCTTGAATCGATTGAATATTAACGTTTTTGCATAGTAAAACAATACATTTTGATTCAGCATTGGTATAAAACTTATTCGTACGAGAGGAGAAGAATTATTGGAGTCGTCCGAAGAGTTGAGTAAAAGCTCAACTGAACGCCGGGCAGCAAAGCTTGCTGAACTTAATCCAAATGTATTATCATCTCTTGTTCAGGTATAAGATCTTTATTTGTTTTTCTGAAGACATTTCCATATTTTAATTATAAATGAGAAGATTAGTTCTTTGCATTCATCTGTAGTGAAGCAAAAGAATTCCAAACAGAAAATACTCCAACAAATTTGCTCAAAAATAACAGTAATTAATTTTCCTGAAAGATCGTATTAAGAAGTTCTTTGGAACGAAATGTTATCCTTAGTTCAAAAGTGGTAAAATATTTGCCATTCAAGTTTGACAAATTTGAATCAAAAATTTCTGGATATATATCGCTTGGAGGGTTACTTTTGACTTATTCATTGCATCAAGGATGTTTGCCTGTTTACTGTGGACAAATGGCTTTGATATATTTAGCTTACTRAAATGAACTCTAATGTTCACGTCAAGAGCATAGGAACATCATATCTATTGTTGCAGTCTCAAAGTGTTTCTCTGCAGATATCATAAGTTTGGCTTGACTTTTTAGGACTGAGTTGAATATTGATAATGATCAATGAGAGTGAGCTTATGATATTCCTTCTGATTCAGCATGGCAGACTCAAAGTCAGGACTTCAGCTGAACAGGCTGCAGCAAAACAAAAGGAACGGGAGAAAAAAATGAAAATATATAATGAAGCTACACAGCGTGTCTTTACAAAGGTATGAAAAAATCTATTCATAAATTAAACTGTCAATTTACTTAGATAATCAAAACAGTATAGTTAGATCAAACATTGTGAAGTGATGACTAGATCATGCATACTGATTAACWTTTAAAACTGACATTTTAGTATACTGAATACCTCTTTACCTTATGCATAATCTTTTCCTATTTCAAACCATGTGTCATTCCCTTGAAAGTAAGAGTCTTTTTTTGAGTCGTATCCAGGCATATTTACAGTATGTCACTCTTCTCATGTGCAACCGAGCACAACAGTGTAACAAAGAAATAAAATACTCTAGGGAATGAAATGCRGTCTGCAATAGGAAAATGTTACACCCGAGCCAAGGAGGTATATTGCCAGAACACTTCTAGTATTTAATATGTATGGTATTTCAATAACTTCTGTTGTTTCCCATCTGACATATGTGTAGTCCAAACTAGTTAAATTTCAAATTTTATCCTTTCGTAATAAAGTAATATACAGTGTACAGTATACAAATATCAGCAGCTTATCTGTATGTGGGTACTGTACATTTTGTATTAATTGCAAGCCATTGTAAAGCTCACACAGATTGTTTATTTATTACTGATGAAATGTCAAGGAAAATGATTTTATTTTTATAATAAAAAAAAGAGATTGAAGTGAGTGAGTGAGAAAATCCATATTAAAATTGAATGCAAATAACGACAACAGGCCATTTGCATAATGGCATCATTTTACTAGCACTACCAAAGTGCTTTGTGAAGTTTCTTTCTCATTCATTGGGCAATTGGTGCTAATTAACTTAATAAAAAAGTGTGCAAGGGATGCTGGTAGTGGTAGCTAGTAAATGATGATAAAATGCAAGTAACCTACATGTATTCTGTACTCATTTTAAAACCTTTTCCTAGGTGTTAATTGCCTTATTTCACTATGACTTCACTGCTTGTTTATGTGGGGGATAGAATCACCAAATCCAATAGAAAACAAAATTTGCTCCTAGCAAAACAGTTTAATCTAAAATGGCCTGGTTTTCAGATATAATATGTGTTAATATATACTAAAAAATATTCTAAGCGTTTGCTGGCTATTCTACTTCTCTTCGTGGATTGATACAGGTTTTAGAACAATTTTCACTGAATTTGCGTTGATTTGACCCCCTCCGAGGACTATGATCCTTTGCGTTAAAACAATAGATTGTTTTGATGTGACGTCATAGTGAAATAGGGCAATTAAGGTGTTAGATWTTTCTCATTAATGAACTTGATAAAAATAGTTAAGTGATCTGAATACAAACAAGAAAACAATGGTTTTGATTGATTTATCTATGAAACAAATTTGCAGAGRAAGAATGATGAACATGATGAAGAAGCATTACGCCTCACAGAACAGCTTCTTAGTTCCAACCCAGATTTTGGGACCCTGTGGAATTTCCGAAGAGAAACATTTCTCAAACTCAAAGATGAAAAGTAAGCAAATAGAAATCTACTTGGATATATCTTTCACTCATTACAATATTTTTATTGTGACTTTTTGGGTAATATGTGAAAGGCAAATTTTGGCTTGATGAGTTATTTAGTTAATCGAAACTTTACAGGATGTTTGATCATGTAAATTAAAACATTAGGAATTTTTTCAAAAAACTTGCTAGCAAAGATTAATTTTCGAGTTTCTGCACACAGCATACGAGACTGGCAAATATCTTTATTGCCCATAAGCACGTCAGTATTAGCTGTTCCAAGGTTGAGGGGAAAACTGGATTGAGTTGTATTACAGTACATTGTGGTAATGTTTAGGGGATAATAGCTGCTATCTTGGAAATATRTCCCCTAAAACAGTCCCACAATGTACCTCATTGACCCTGTTTTTTTTCCTCAAGCTTGGAACAGCTAATTTGATGCGGTATTCTAGTTATGTGTAATGATTTGTTTCTGGCACTCCACCCTGCCCAAAGGGGGGGACCTAGGGAGGAGGGAACATCAAGTACTAATAATTATATCTTCACCATGGAGGGGATTGGAATTTCTTGAGAAGGGTTTGCGATTGAGAGAGCATGAGAAGAGTAATAATTTACACATAGTTCCAAAAAATATCTCTACCTTATCCATGGAGAGGGGGTGGGATTGAATCTTTCAAGGGGGAGGGGGGTGGGCTAATGAGGGTACATTTTGTAGTTCCAGAAAATATATCCAGTAGAGTGATAGGGCATGGGATAGGCAGTTTTTATAAAATGTGTTATGTAGTTCTACATAATGATGCACAACTGTAGAGAAAGTATCCATACCAATGAATGGGGATTAGATTTTGTGGTCTGACATGTTTAAATTGTCATTTTGCTTTGTTTTTGTAGTGGATTTGATGAAAATCTAGAGAAGCTGTGTAAGAATGAGCTGTCATTTCTTCAAGGCTGTCTTAAAGTTAATCCAAAATCTTATGGGGTTTGGCACCATCGCCAATGGATTAATGAATTCCTACCCAAGGCTGACTGGAAAAAAGAGCTWCAGCTCTGTGATTTATTTCTTTCATTTGATGAAAGAAACTGTGAGTTTAACATTCCTTTTATCATCATAAATTTTATCAAACCCTGATTGCAGATCAAACCCTGAAACAATCAACCTCTGGGATGATCACAGTAAGGGCATGGCTAACTCACAGATTGAACCCTGAAACAACCTCTGGGCTGATCAAAGTCAGGGCATGGCTAACTCACAGATCAAATCCTGAAACACAAGCTCTGGGCTGATCTAAGTCAGGGCATGGCTAACTCACAGATCAAACCCTGAAACAACCTCTGGCTGATCAAAGTCAGGGCATGGCTAACTCACAGATCAAACCCTGAAACAACCTCTGGGCTGATCACAGTCATGGCATGGCTAACTCACAGATCAAACCCTGAAACAACCTCTTGGCTGATCTAAGTCAGGGCACAGCTAACTCGCAGATTGAACCCTGAAAAAAACCTCTTGGCTGATCTAAGTCAGGGCACAGCTAACTCACAGATTGAACCCTGAAATTCTGAATGCTCCTGTATTTACAAAAATATTCTTTGATTTCAGTTCACTGCTGGGACTATCGCAGGATCGTAGTAAAAAAGGCCAACATTACAGCTGARGAGGAATTCAAGTTTAGTACTGATAAAATTGTTGAAAATTTTTCAAATTATTCATCATGGCATTACCGTAGCAAGCTTCTTCCATTGATCCATCCTGATCCAAGTGGAAACCCAGATCGGATAGAAGAAAGTGCATTATTAAAAGGTAGTTGGGTGCTGTACATCTATTAATTTTTTTCACTGTGATGTCACGCTATCAATTTTTTTTTCACCAACTATTCAGCCATCCCATCCTTCCTTCCATCTATTCATCCATTTACCCATCTATCCACCCATCTGTAACATCCATCTATTCAACCATCCCATCCTTCCTTCCATCTATTCATCCATTTACCCATCTATCCATCCATCTATCGACCTATCTATTCAACCATCCCATCCTTCCATCTATTCATCCATTAACCCATCTATCGACCCATCTATCGACCTATCTATTCAACCATCCTATCCTTCCTTCTATCTATTCATCCATTTACCCATATATCCAACCATCTGTAACATCCATCTATTCAACCATCCCATCCTTCCTTCAATCTATTCATCCATTACCCATCTATCCACCCATCTATCGACCTATCTATTCAACCATCCCATCCTTCCATCTATTCATCCATTAACCCATCTATCCACCCATCTATCGACCTATCTATTCAACCATCTCATCCTTCCATCTATTCATCCATTAACCCATCTATCCACCCATCTGTAACAT